GTTCTCGCGACAAAAAGCCATGTACAAACGAGTCAGACTTTCAATCTCTCTACAAAATTATAAATCTAGGACAACATAGGGGTCTGGATCTTTCCAATTTAAAAATAATGTACAATAGCCACCAAATCCACAAGCAATTTCGAATGAATTCTAGAGTTTTTATTTCGTTTCTGAGAAAAATGAATTCTAGAGTTGCGAAGAATAACTCAAAAGAAAAACAAAATTGACTTTACTTCTCTAGAAACACCGATATTAACCCTTAAAAGATTGGGACAATTGCAAAAATGCCACTTTTTGTGTGCACATTTACAAGAACGCCATTTAGAGGTGTCCATTTGCAAAAATGCCACTATTATAGATTTATAAAATCTATATCTTAAAATTCTAAATCCAAAAAATGTATTGATCCCTAAAACCCCCTAAACGCTCATAACTAAACCCTAATATAATATTATTAACCCAAACATAAATAATAGAAAGAAAAATAATTTTGAAAAAATAGCATTTTTGTAAAAAATTCAAAAGTGTGGCATTTTTGTAAAGTGTTATTTGAAAAATGGCATTTTTTGAAATTTTTTTAAAAAATTAAGGTTTTCAAATAAATAAAAAAGCAAAAAATCATCTTTTAGATATACTTGTTTTTGTGTTTCGGGCGACATTTGTGGATGGTAGCCAAATTCGCATAAATGACAAGTTATTTTGTAGACGATAGACGAATTTTTTTTGTAAACGATAGATGTGATACACATGTAAAAAAAATGTTCATTTCAAAAAAAAATATACGAAAACTAAAATGATAGAGCATAAAACATTTCATATTTAAAATTCTTTCCGCCTTAAAGATGCAAGTTTTTTGCTAGTATCCCAAATAAAGATACTTTCTTGAAACTATTATACACAATAGACATTTTTCTACATTTGGACATTTTCTTTGTGATGAAAGACAAAATTATCCTTAACTCAACCAACCTAACAATAAAAAAGTAACTCAGACTGATTTAATAAAACTCTAGTTACGAAACTTGTAAATAAAAATTAGCTCAACCAAACTCTATCTTTACCATAGTTAGCCTAATTTATTGTGCACGATGAAAGAATTTTTTATTGGGTGAATTAGCTCAATATTCATATTGGATCCCAAAATTAAGAAAATAGTTATGCTATTTGGTCAACTAAGGCAATAACGGTTTGACCAAAAAATTTATTCTTCTGCCCTCGAAACGTGATAGCCAGCGAAGCAGCTGTTGTTGATGTTGTAACGCCCGTGAACCGAAAAAGGCGGTTGGCTGGTGGAATGCGCGACACAAGGGGTGATTTCGGTCCGTCGGTTCGTTTTGAATTGTTTCAGTTCGGGGTCGGTTTAGCGGAACCCTAGGTTTTGATATAAAAGACAGAAACAGTGTTCTGGCCGTTTTTTTTTTGTTGATCAGAAATCAGAAGTTTAGGGATTGGAAGAGGTTTGAGAGAGAGAGGCTTTGTTCTTGAGAGGTTCGTGAGTGAGAACAGCTTCTGTTCGGAAGTTTGAGAGGGCAAACGGCTGGGCTATTCGAGGCGGATTGGAGCGATTTTTGGTGGCTAGGTTCTCCAATCTCTGCTCGTGATATAGGCGAAAACGGTTTGTCTTTTGGTTGTTTACTCACCGAGTTATGGCTGTTTGAATTNGATGGGTCTGTGAAGATTGTTATCTGCGATCAGTCGGTTTCAGAGAAGAATTCCGATCGAACCAGAAGGATTCTGGGGGCGATCCGCATACTGACGCGTAGCTGTGTGTGTCTAGTTTCCAGAATAGTCGCCTGTTTCAGAATTGGACCAGTGGTTCGTCGTGTACGAGGGTTTTAGTGAACGTTGGTTTCATTTCATTTCGATTNTTCGAGGTGAGTGCGCGACCATAGACTCTCAGGAAGTAGGTTATACGATATGTTTGATTGCTGCTGTGATTTTGCTTGGATTGTGGTTGTTGTGGACGTTTTGGTACAGGTTTGCAGTGGAACGGATTGGGATTCGAGTCATGAGAGGATGAGACTCGTTTCCCAGTTCCTGCGCGCGGTGTCGCGCGACACAGTGTCGTTCCATGCATTGATGTTTCGTTTGCTTGCCTTTCGTGCTGCTTGTTCATTCTGGTATTGTATGA